TCATGAAATGCTTTAGTGACACACCTTCTCCTGTTTGAAAGATTCCACTAGACTACTAGGTACAAACATTTATGATACTTCCTAAATTGGACACAATAAAGAATAAATATTTCAAATATTCCTCATCACCAGTACTATCGAGTTCTATGTAGCACAACACAGAAGTAAGCAGTTAACTAAAAAACGAAGATCAAGATAATTTCAATTGAATAGTTGAAAACTAATTCTTTAGACTTTCCGCTTTTTGCAACTCAAAAAGAATTATTTTTAATTTTCTTCAACTAATTATCCCAAAGTTTCTTTCACTTTTGAATTCTTTATGCAAACTTTTGAGGATTAAACAAGATAGATGGGAAGATTTATTCCCTCAACTTTAGCTTTATATATACTTAATTATTTCAAGCATCTAATTATCAAATGTTTGCTCAGATTTTACCCTTCTGCACTTTTAGATGTCCAATTAAATTCCTCTATTTTTTTTTTACTTGTTTTAAATGAAATATATTTGTACTTTCTAAAAAGCTACAGTACTGCATTTACAAATTATTCTTATTTTTTTTTATTTTATATCTATTTAAAGAGAATGACAAATTCATTAATTAATGGTCAAAATGGAGGGATTAATGAGTTTTACCGCATAATTGAGAGGAAATATTTGTGTACCGTGCGATCGTCTAATAAGGAGCCATTAGTTCATTGGATGGCTATTGTTGATTTTATCCTACAAGTGGACGGATCGTAACAAGTACTAAAATAGACATTTTGAGTCCGAATTATCGTTCCCACGAGAACTATTTTCTAATACTTAATTCAATTTTTTCTTTAACTACTATTTGATGGAAACAAATTAAAAGTTATATGATTTGAATGATTTGAGTTTTAATCTAAATTCTAGAAAATAAATGAATGCTCTCACATTTTTTTATTTTTTTTTGTAAAGTCAAATAATTAAAGGACATTGGGGCGGAATAATTTCACCCATTAATCACATTTACATCTCAAATTAAGACTCAATTCTAATGTAGTGTTCGATCAAATTCTCCTATTGTATTCAATTTACCCTTCTCGAGTTCTCATTGAGCCTATTCAACTAATTAAATTTTATATCTCTATTCAAATATAACTTACTTAAACGACTTCTTTGTCATAAGAATTCAATTATGACTGCAATAAATGGCATAGGTATTTCCAATGTAATGGATTTTACTACATGCTCTAAATCCTAAACTCATATTTTTATTTGTAAAGGATTATCAAAATTGATCAAATTATTGATCAGGTAATTTAATGCAATCGATCCATAGTAAAACTCAACAAATGGAAGAATTAAAAACCTAGAATCTTAATAAGAAAATATAAAGGATCTCAAATGAGTTACATTATTCACCCTGACAATGGATTTAACTACGCATAATAAAAGAAGAGCAACAACAAATTGTCTTAGAATACATCACCGAATTTTGAATAAGAATATGTAGAAGAAAAGGTAAATCTTGCACCAAAAGTTCCTCATTTTTCCAATTTATGCTTCACATGATGAATTTGGCATTGTCTTCTCCTTTGAATCTCTTCCCCCTTTCTCTCAAGAAGTGTTTTTGCCTCTAGAATGTGTAGAACTCTTAAAGTGTGAGAATTTTCGTATTTATAGGTCCCTTGCTGTGTTGGAAGAATAGGGTTTTCATATGGACTCAAGAAGGATTGAAATTGCGCCCTAACGCATCTGGGATGCGACGCCGCGGTGCCTGGAATGCAACGTCACAACGCCGTGTCAAAAAATAAGGGTGCCACCTCTCTGAATCTCCAGTTGCGGCGCCACTTTTCGAACAGCAGCACGCACCTCTTTCAGTATATTTAACATAACTTTCTCTCCGATATCCAATTGAGGTGATTCAAGATGCGTTGAAAATCTAATTCAAAGAGATACAACTTTGCTTCAGACATTATTCTCCGATTCGATTTTTTTCTATGTCAAAAACGGGTCTTAATGCGAGCCTAAAAATTCGGAGCATAACTTTCAGTTGGAAATTGATTTGTGATCATATGTTGCCTAAATTTGATCCCATTTGACATCTTTCTTCATCAAATTGACTCCTAACGCTCTCGAATCTTCATCTTGAGGTTTGACACAATTTTTGAATATTTGCACTTTAGTTCCCAAACTTTGGATTTCATACGATTTAGCTCTTTTCTCCAATTTTGCCCACTTTTGCTTCTTTCCTTCAAATTATTTTCCTTCATAAAATTTTACTTATTAAACATAAAATACAAACATTTAGAATATAATTTGTCGAAATAACCATCAAATATAGATTTAGGGTATCGAATAAGTGTATATAATACACTTATCAATGGCCCGACATCACACTCAAGACCTGAGGTTGTCTCACCTCATTGGATGAGGTTGGACCATTCGATAAGGTGATGGCTCCTTATTAGATGATTGCACCACGTAGGACAATATGGTACAACCATTCTACCCAAGTATCTTTCCGTAATTGGAAGAATGAGGATAAATTATGCTAAAAATAAAAGATTGAGGTAGATTCGTTACATTTTTCAAAGATTGAGTACGGAAATATAAATTTCTTGACGAAGGAATGAAAGTGAATAGAGTAAATTTAACCAATGCTCACTGAACTTTAAACTTGGTTACTACTTGCTCATTAATCTTTCACGGGTTACTGAATTTCTATATAGTTACTAATCCACCACTCATCTCTTCAAATAATTGGGTGACTTTTGCGGCAACTTTTCGACAACTTTCGACCACCAAAAATGTTGAATTTGATACCATTGGAAAGTCCACGATATCCTCTTCAATTACCACCCAAAATCTTCCTATCATTTCAAGGGATTTGATTAGAAAATTGCCTTAAAAGTCGCAAAAAAATTTTGAAAATCTGCCAGCCGCAAAAGTCGCCCAATTATTTGAAGAGACGAGTGGTGGATGAGTAACTATATGAAAAAATGAGTGACTATTCAGTAACCCATGAAAGATAAGTGAGCTAATAGTAACCAAGTCTAAATTTCAGTGAGAATTGGTTAAATTTACTCAAAGCGAATAGTACTACGGGTGAAAGACAGACGGAGAGAGGGATGAATAAGAAATTTGGAGGGAAGCAGGCGACGGGAACTCCGTCGTTGGCATGGTCGTGTGTCGTTGTCATTGTGTCGCTTCTCGCTGGCGCTTCTGTTGTGCATAATATATTCAAGCCTGATTTGGTAAATTCTTTCTACATGCAATTGCATTTACTCACAAATTTCGCTAGCTAATTTACACTGTTTATGGAGTTCCCTACATCGCTTATACTTGAAAACAATTAGCTTTGTTGTAAGTGATTCAATTTCTGTGTTTGTATTGGGGCTTTTCTAGTCTACGACCTGTTTGATAAAATGCTCCATTGGGACTTGTTTGTTCGCTGGGTGGATTCGACTATATTAAGAAAGAAAAAGATACTAAATTCTTGTCCATTGTAGCATCAAGATGTTTCTTTTCATTATCTTTTCTTTCTGAGTTATTAGTATTTATTTTTCTTGTTAAAACTCTGAGCAATGGGTATTATTGAACTCTAGTAACTGCATCTAGTGTATGTGATTTGTGCAGACAATGCCTCCTGGAAGCACACATGGGACTGAGCAGGAACAAGTAGAGAAGACATGAGTTCCAAAACTGGAGCACCATGAAACTGGCATTATATTTTTTCCTTTTGAATTACTTGTAATGCTTGAACCCTATTTTCCAAGCTAAAGGAAAGGGCATTCCCTTATTTCGCATGACTGTACAATTCAATTAACTATTAGAGCATGACAACAATTTTTGTTTGCAGAGCCAATTTTGCTGAGTATTTCACACTATTTTCCTGCTTGCTGCTGTCTTCCTTACTGTTTCAATGATATCAGTAACCTCCTTTCGAGAGAAAATTCTGTTACTTCTCTGCGCCAAGCATGGTATGCAGTAGTATAACAAGCTAGCTTAGCTCCTATTTGATGACCACTAAGAAGAGTTTTTTTGGGAAATATGATTTTTTAAATAGTGATTTTTTGTAGGATGCGTGTTTAAAAAGTAAAGAAAAAGTTTTTGGTTTAGATGTAGAATATTTTACCTTAGGAATGTGTGATTAAAAATGAGTTTGAGAAAACGAGAGTTTGTTTTAATGGTTGTCAAATGAGGGCTTAATAAGCAAAGTATTAAGGTCATCACTAGACACCAGGCTCGAATATTCTGGTTATGTAGATGGCCCATCGTCAAGAGACAGTTATTCATTATCTTGCTTTCTTTAGCCTATCCCTTGTAGCAAGCCTTCTATGACATAATAGCTAGAATCCAATCCATAGAAGGAAGGCACGTCTTCTGCTAAAATTCACCTTTGTAGCTAATACTCTTTTTGAGTGTTCTGAAACTTTTCCTGGTATTCTTCACTAAAAATTCAAGTAAACCATCCCTTATCTACTTGTGCCAATTCAACCCAAATCTTTTTATGCTATTTCACCATCTTCTTCTTATCCGGAGCGTTGGATGCATCTTGCATTGAAACTCTTTAAAGGTTACATAAAGAGGTACAAGAGTCCTATTTATTTAATACTCTCTTGTATGTTTGACATGCAGAAATAGACAACGTAATTTGCATATATTTTATGGTCTTTCATCAATTTTGTCTAGTCTTGCACCCAACTTTCCCTCTACCTTAGCTTCTTTGTCAAGTATACCTGGAAGGGGTTAGTTTATTTAGCTTCTCCATGTGTTGACTGTAAACTATTAGATGTGCTCCATTCCATAACTTATATAGAGCTTTTCTTTTCTTAAGAATTGCCCTAATTTAGCAGGCAGTTTATTGGGGGAGATCTTTGAGTGGAAAACTTGTCAACAAGATCCGAAAACAAACCATTGGCAACCAAGTATGGTGAACAACGTTCAACTCGCCAACAAATTAAGGTCGAGTATGAGAACAAAATTCAATTAATGCTAATATAACTCAATTCTGCAGTTAAGAACAAATTCAAATTCTCTATCACAGATTAAGAGAAAGGACGACCGAGATAAATTCAGTAGGACAGCTTTTCACTTTCTTTACTTGCCAAATAATATTATCCCTGACAATAAATACGCACAAAAATATTTGTCAAATGTCATGAAATGAATAATAAGACAAACTCAGAATTAAAAAAAAATTGAGAAGGTACAGTCGCAATCTGTACATTGCTACAAACATATGGTTTCTACTTTCATTGGTTAAACTTCTACTGAATGTACATAGGCAATTATTAAAAAAAAAAGTTTGAGAAGGTGCAGTCTCACCAAACTACAAAACGTGATTACGTGGAAACTTCCTGTTTCCAGAACTCAATAAATTTTACTTCCACCTATATAGTTTTCTCTTTATAATCGTTCTGAACCATGTTTGGTATGTTGTACTGAACAATATACCAAATAAACCTTTTTGTTCCTTTTGCAACAAAAGTCAACAGGGTGATGTATTTAAACCATCTTCTGTCACCAGCTAGCATGGACCTAAGGGAAATTGTCTTTATGGGATAACGTGGAAATGTCCGGTGAAGCTCCGAATTTCACAAATTCTTCTTGGAATCTACAATTTTCAGCAATCCTCCCTGGCCCCAAAGCATGAAGCGATCTTCATCACATGCATTCTTGGCGGATCTCCCACGCCAAACACTCTGGTCGAGGTATGAAAACCATGTATTCTCTACAAGCAATGTCAAAACCATGACTTCAATGTTGCTCTCATCCTCTTCACAAAACAACGATGAACCTAGAAAAGAGGGCGGTGGGTTGGAACGAACGTATAACAAGAATTCTTGGAATGCATTGGGGATTTTTGATTGGTGCTGAGCTCTGACGTAAGTTGCAATAGGCAAAGGTTATGATGTCAGTCGAGAGCATGGCATTCTTACGGGCGAAAAAACAACTGTTAGTCGAGCATGATCAGAAAGAGAATAATCTTCTGGCCAAATTCCCTTCTCTACTTCTGTCGGAAAAAGAACTGCATTCTTGACACTGAAACCAATAGTTTCCTCTGTGCCACTGACAACATCATCCCAGATATCATTACTCGCTTTGTCATTACTTTTCCCCGACCACGGGGCATTCCATATTCCCAGCTGCCATGCCATTATAAGAAGGAAAAAAAATGAGAATTGTATGCGAAAGAAAGATCAGACCATCAGATACGGTCAGTCATCTAAGATTTCCGACATTTCAGGTTTTCATAAATTTCACATAAGTTTTTTCTCTTCAAATAATACCTTAAATTCTTTGTAATCCAGAACACCATCCCCATCAACATCCGCTTGTTCCCATAGATCCTTTATTTCTTCAACACTCAGTCCATTGCAATGGCCGATCAAATTAAGCTGTTATAGAACCAAAAAATACTGGGGATTTATTTTTCATACAAGTGGAAAATAAAAAAGTCTGCCCCACGTACGTGTGCAGTTACAAAAACGTGAAATGGCACCTACCTGCCTTAATGCTTCACAGAAGCCATCATAAGAAATGTAATCACCATCGATATCAGCCTTTAGAAAGGCAAATGCATCATCTTCTGTAAGTGAGGCTCGGCGAAGTTGATACTGTAGAAGAATGTACATCGAGATTTAAATATTACAAATACAATATAATTTATCATCATTACAGAATTCCATGATTGAAAAGACAGCAATACCAGATGCTGTTTAGGGATGCATATTCCTTGGTGTTCTATTCAAAAACTACTTCGTACAAAATACGAAGAAACCTCAAAAAAGAAGTATCCATGCTTGGAGTTGCATAATAGCAAGTGTATATTGATCATTCTATATTCTCAAATTAAAATTTATCAACATAAGGAGGAATTGCATTCACAGTGGATGGATATCTACATATTTCTAAGTGATTGACAATATTGCATGAACATATCAAAAATGATATTCAAACTCCTTATTTCCTGAGAGGTCCATTACATGTCTCACCTTAAACATTCCAAAGACTGCTGCACTCCAACTTGTTTTAAGTAATTTCCGGTATCTATTAGGATTAAGAAGCCATATAAAATCTACACCACAGATGTTCCCACGATGATTACGGTGGCTCACCCACTGCACAGAAGCATGTAGCTGTCAAAAACAGGAATTTTCTCAAAATACAAGAGGTTCAAAAGATGAGAGTGTAAGGAGATATAAACTACCTTGTGAGCATCTCCATCGCTATACTGATGGGCAGTATCATATGATGATACGAATCCCTGAGACCTAAGAAACTTGTACACATGACCTCTCTTGCTTCCATTCCAATCACTGCAGAAGTTAGAGATATGCATGACCAATCACTCATCTTTGATATTCTTGCATGACATCTCAAAAGATAAAAGCAAAACAATTACAAACTTACCCACAAAGTAAAATCGGCAAGGGGTTGAGCTTGTTTTCTTTTTGATATGATTCCACATATTGCAATATTTTGTAAACCTATCAAGGACACCATGATAGTTACGAGATTACATGAAAAATGGTTTCACACAGTAAATGTACAAGATTCACGTATAAAATACCTGACGCAGTCGCTCCAAGCACAAACTTGAATCATGTGGAAACAACAAATGTGTATTCACTATAAGAATTTCTTGCCGAACATTACTGTTTCGACATTGAGGAGGTGCAATCAGTTCCACGTGCAGTAGCTGAGCAACACGGTCTCCAAAATCATTGAAAAGCAAATCTTGGTGGCTTATGACCCTAAAGTAGTCCTTGTGAACCGCAGTGAGGAGACCTATCACAATTTCAAGGAAGGACAATTATTTATTTATTTATTTATTTTTATATTTGAATAGATATATTTCAGTCAATCAAAATGATGGTTCAGCTTATGTTACATAACACCACTGATTCATCATATCATGATGACTTGAATCCAAATTATAAATTAAAAATGATATACAAAAGTTAATTTCATAATGAATAAATTTGAATTTGAACAAATTTTCATCAATTTGTTGTATTTCGTATGCCATCTTCCTCTGTATACACCTAAAATTCACGTGCAAATTAGCGAAATTGCTACTGGATGTTGTAGTTTACCAACCAAAAGACTAGAGGAATATTCTCAAGAATAAAGAAATAGCAGAGAAAATTCCCAGTATGAGACGCAGTACGCTTGCGAGGTAAACAATTTTGATGTAAACAGACAAATTGCAAATATAATCCAGGCCAGCAGAAAGATACTGTTCTTATAAATATTGTCTAAAAGTTCTCCCTGTGAACACATAAGAAAATGCACATACCATCACCACGATTATTCGTCCTTGCAAGCTTGAAATTTATGTAGCCAGCATCCGCAAGCCTCTTATCATATATACTAACAAGTTCTTGATTACCAACCCAAAATTCCTGCCAATCCCAACGAAAAACAGCTTAAATATCATCAAAAGGCAGATCTTTACAAGAAAAAATGGATGCAACGTAAAGAAATCAAAACCTGGAGACAAATAATCGAAGATCTTTCACATAACAACCAATCCAAAATCTGACGGTTCCTGTTCAACCAATAATCTTTCACATCGCTTTCTCTGTGACTCGAATCCTGCCCTTCCCCAAAATGCCCAAAAATTTACAAACATAAATCAATATCAGCACCATATGGATGGATACACATATATACCAATATGAAATCGAATTGTGTATATATACATGTGCATACGAACATTTACCTCGTGATTGAGTCTTTTGTATATTGGGGCAAGGATATTGAAGGTTGTGCAAGAAACGCAAGCGGGATCGGTAATTGATGAGGCAATTGCATAACTTCCAATTCTTGAAACCCTCCCTTTGCCTATCCTTTTGTTCTTCCTCCCCATTCCTTTGTTTAGGGCGGAAGGCAATGCTGATGAAATTAAAACTCAAGAAAATTATAGCCAGAAAATCCCTTCACGAGAAACTGGAAAAAATAAACCCGGTAGTTCCGTGAACATGACCAACAACATTAAACCAAGATACTTATGTATCTATATTAATGTACGTACGCGCGCGAGAAAGGGTAATGTAGGAGAAGAGGGAATGAGATTAAAGAGAGGCAATGCTAGGAGGATTAGGTGGTGTGTTGAGGAGTAAATTTGCAATGTATGGTCCCCAATCTATTACGTAAGTAGCTAGTTGGTTATCAATATTTTATTATTTTAGCACTAGTATTAGTTCTCATCTACAAATTGTTTATCCAGCCCATTCAACTGTCTCGACCGGTCAAGCTGTTAGTCGCTGCGACAAGGCTCTACCAATTGCTTCAATAATTTTGGAAGACCCTTACCCTATCGAGATCATTTGTCATGTAATTTTT